AGGTGAATTTGTTTATTTTCCTTTATATTTTATATTCTCTTTATTATTTTGTATTATATTACAGTATTGTAACCATTTTTACATGAATATTTTTGGGTTGTGGGACAAATCGTCTGAGTTTCCATCATTTCTTGTGGGGAAATTCGCTTTGATATTACAAGTGCTTTGGATGACAAGCATGTTTCCAGAACAAATTGTGCTCGCAAACCAAGGTTTGACTGTATATAGAAGGCTGACGGAGAAGAGGCTGGGCTGGGCTTAGTACCAACACCAGGTGCCTGGACTTGGTACTGCCAACAGCCATCTGTCACTGCCACTAAGGTTGGACAAGTTCTCAACTTCCCTTATGTGAAATAGGGTCCCTATCTACTTTGTAAGGGTTCTCTATAGCGTATCACCGACTACATTGTCTGGGCACAGGATAGCTACTCAAATATTTGAGAGCAGTTGCCAGGCTGATACTTTGTGAGTTTCTTCTTAGTTTCAAAATCCAATGATCTTGGCAAAGTATTGATGACTGTCGTATACTCTACCGTCATTTATGTTGGGAAATTATCCAAATAAAAAGTAAAAACCAAAAACAGAGAGAGAGAGAGAAAGAGAGAGAGAGAGAGGCACTAAATGATCTCACATTTCAAATGGTTTGAGCCCGGATGAAGTATCAGATGGCCCTTTGTATGTGCCCAACCTAGCAAGGACAGTCTACGTCAGCTGCCGCATGCTGGTGTCCCACAGAGCCAAATCGGCTTGTAGTTGAGTCTCACTTGGCTGCAAGAGTATTTTTAAATGTCAGGAGATTTTATGCAAAAAGTGGGCTTTTCACTTCGGAAAAATGAGAGGATCTAACAATGGTGGGGCCACGTTTCTGCCAGAGGACAGTCGCCTGAAACAAAGTATCCGCTGCGTCTTTGAACCACAGCATGGTTCCTGCATTTTATCCCTTCTTTCTTGTTCTATATTGGGCTCTTTTACATTACCTGTCAGACCCTGTGGAACCTCATGCCTCCTGGACTGGCAAACGATTCATTCTTTGAGCAGGGCTCCCATCAGTGTTGATTACTGATGCCTCTGTTTATTTCAGAGTGGGCTCTCAGGGGAGTGGGATACATGTGTGTCTCTCTTCCCCCCATTTCCTACCTACCCCTGGTATCTGTAAGCACCAACTGATCCTTTATGGCTTCCAGAGAAAAGAAAATGGTCAAGCAAAGTGGACTTCCATCAACAAGACTCTACCGAATCATTCAGATGAACCATAGGGAAGGGGTGTGGACACTACATGTGTCAATGGGTTCCACAAGCTATTGCGATGATGCCCTAGGAAAGTATGAGCCACGTTCTTGGGCCACAACTACAGCACCCAAACAGGAAGCAAATCCAAGTCACTTCAGAGTGGCCAAAAATGGGTATACTATCTGTGGATTAAGATGCCTCACTCCTGGAACGGAGGCCTCTCAAAGGACCGGACACGCTCTGAGGGATGCTGCTGGGAGCACTCTGCCTTCTTGTCCCCTTCTCTTGTTGTAGTCAATTGTTTCATTCAGTCCTTTTCCTGTCTGAAGTTAACCTTGAGCTTCAGTCGCACAGTCGGTTACCGTCTTGCTCATGGCCGCTTCATTCACAAATGGTGGAAGCATCCCGTTAAGTCTGCTGACAGATGAATGGTTATCCAAAATGCAGTGAACACACACAATTAATGCTAGTCAGGCCTAACAAGGAAAGGGATTCTGACAGGTATTGCAACACGGATGAGCCCAGAGGACATTATGCTCAGCAAAGTAAACCAGTAACCAAAGGACATATACTGTGTGAATCCACTTCTAAGAGGTATCTAGAGTTGTGAGATTCCTAGGAACAGGATGCAGATTCCTAGGAACAGAAAGCAGAACCGAAGTTGTCAGGGGCTATGGGGAGGAGAATGGGGAGTTTGTGCTGAATGGGGACAGTTCCAGTTTGGGAAGATGAAAAGTTCTAGAGATGGATGGGGGTGAAGGTGGCACAATAACGTGACTGTAGAGGCAGCTGGGTGGCTTGGTTGGTTAAGCGTCTGACTTCGGCTCAGGTCATGATCTCGCAGTTTGTGAGTTCAAGCCCCGCGTCATGCTCTGTGCTGACAGCTCGGAGCCTGGAGCCTGTTTCGGATTCTCTCTCTCTCTCTCTCTCTCTCTCTCTCTCTCTCTCTCTGCCTCTCCACCACTCATGCTCTGTCTCTTTCTCTCAAAAATAAATAAAGGAAATAAATAAATAATGTGACTGTAAGGTATGCAATGTCACTGGACTGTCTGCTTGAAAAAACGATGAAGATGGTAAATTTTGTGTTGTATTTTTATCACAATTTGAGGGGGAAAAAGATACCCTAACCAAACCTAGTTCAAAAACCTGTAGTCCTGTTCCTAATGGTTTCCCACAGAAGAGGGAGCCAGCCTTCTAACCTCTCCGTTCTCTTCTGCTTAATTTGCGACAGCAAGTGACTCGGAGTCAGCAGATAGATGATCTCCTGGATGTCCTCATTGAAAGTGGAGGTAAGACTGCCCGTCTTGCCCATTGGAACGCCCGGTACCTGCATGTGCTCTAGACAGTGGACCCTCAGGACCAAGGTCGGATGCTCACCAAAAGCCACGGATGGGTAGAATATCTCTGCGTGGGAGCTCTCCGTCCACGCTGGAGTGGGGGAAAGAAGGCACAATGGATGATTTGTCCCCCTGCTCAAAGAACTTGCTCACCAATCATTTGACCCTATTTACCCTACTTCCCTAAGTGTTTTGCCTTGTGACTCCATTTCTGTTGGCTCTTCTAATCCCAGTCTCCCTATAGCAAGAGAGCAGATAAAGCAAGTTTTGTGCCACGTCCTCGAAATGAAATTCAATCAGCGATCTCCCACTGGATGGTCTGTTCAGGTGCAGACATCATGCACGCTTGCAACAACACCAAAAAAAAAAGATCAACGTGTTCTTTTGGGTTCCTTTGCAGTGATTCATTTATTAGCTTTTAAAAATGGGGGCGCCTGGGTGGCTCAGTCGGTTAAGCGTCCGACTCTTGATTTCGGTTCAGGTCACGACTTCATGGCTGGTCGTGAGATTGAGCCCCTCATCGGACTCCAGGCTCAGCGTGGATTCTTAGGATTCGTGGAATTCTGTTTCTCCTTCTCTCTCTGCCCCTCCCCTTCTCACATGCATGCATGCATGCGCTCTCTCTCTCAAAATAACCATAAAAAAATAATAAAGTTTCTGAGAAGGAGTAGGCAGGCATTTACTGGCTCAATGCTGCACCAGACAAAGACTACCTTTATGGAACTCGCAGTCTGGTAAGGGAGATGGAAAACAGAAGAGTAAACAGGCAGTTTCTCCATTGTGTGTAGCAAGAGTAAGAAGGAACAGATGGTCACAGGAGTCTGTATCTTTATAACTTTTGTGATGGAAAGATAAGAGGGACTATCAGACACCCCCCCCCCATATTTCTTTTATTTATTTATTTTGGGGGGAGCAGAGAGAGCGGGAAAGAGAGAATCCCAAGCAGGCTCTGCACTGTCAGCACAGAGCCTGACGCGGGGCTCGAACCCACAAACCATGAGACCATGAGCCAGAGTCAGACGTTTAATTGATTGAACCACCCAGGCGCCCCCACCCTTATATTTTTAATGAAGTGTATGGCCCAGTCAACAAAGGTGAGGGTGCAGGAGGGGAGCACGGGAGATTCAAGCACAGAAGAGCAATCATGAATCAATCACAAATGAATGGAGTTTCCTAGAGAAACACAGTGGGATTGCTACGCTGTATTGAGTGCCAGCTGTAGGCTGGTCACCTTGAATCTAAAGTGAGACCAGCCAGCTCTGTTGTGTCATTTTTCTCTTGCAACCAAGATTCATTCAGGTGTGGAGTTTTGCCAAGGGAATACGGGGCAAGGGGATTGAGCATATATGGGGCGCCTGAGTGGCTCAGTCGGTTAAGCATCCGACTTCGGTTTAGGTCATGATCTTATGGTTCGTGGAGCCTGCTTCGGATTCTGTGTCTCCCTGTCTCTCTGCCCCTCCCCCACTCGTGCTTGCCTCTCTCTCTTTCAAGGATGAATAAACATTAAAAAATAATTTTTTTAAAGGTACTTTAGGGGCACCTGGGTGGCTCAGTCAGTTGAGCATCCGACTCTTGATTTTGGCTCAGGTCATGATCGTGGGATCGAGCCCTGTGTCAGGCTCCAAGTTGATCATGGAGCCTGTTTGAGATTCTCTCTCTCCCTCTGCGCCCCCACCCCGTTTGCACATTCTCTCTAAAAAATAAAAATAAAAATAAAAATAAAAAGTACTTTAAGTCTATCCAGCTCTTAAAACCAAGATGGAGTCCTTCTATGTGACCTAAAATAAGTTAATTATCTTAATCACCAGGACCTGTTCCTTCCTTAATATTTATCTCGGGGCCAACGGGTCAAAACAGGTCAAAAAGCTAGAGATGGCCCTTGACTCCACTCTTGACTTTGTACCTCCAAATCTAAAACACACTGTCAGGGCATCTGGGTGGCACAGTCGATTAAGCATCCAACTCAGCTCAGGTCATGATCTCACGGTTCATGGGTTTGAGCCCCGTGTCAGGCTCTGTGCTGACAGCTCGGAGCCTGGAGCCTGCTTCGGAGTCTGTGTCTCCCTCTCTCTCTCTGCCCCTCCCCTGCTCATGCTCTGTCTCTTAAAAGTAAACAAACGTTGAAAAAAAATTTTTTTTAATAAAAATAAAGATCCCCGCTGTGTAGCATCTCCATTGGTAGTAGTGTAACAATCCCCATTGTGTTTTGCCAACAGAGATGCCAGCTGATGCTAGGGAGGATCATTCATGTCTTCAAAAAGTCCCCAAGATAGCCGGGTCTTCCCGAAGCCCTAACGCCGCCCTCTCCAAACCCTCATCTTCAGGAGGCCAACTCTCCTTCGATCACTATGGTACCGACAGTGATGAGCACCTTGAAGTCTTATTAAATTCCCAGAGCCCCTTGGGGAAGGTGAGCGATGTGGCCCTTCTAAAAATCGGGCACGAAGAGCCTCCTTTTGACGGGATAATGGATGGATTCTCCGGGAAGGCAGCAGAAGACCTCTTCAGCGCGCACGAGATCTTGCCAGGCCCCCTCTCCCCGATACAGACTCAGTTTTCACCTTCCTCTGCAGACAGCAGTGGGCTGCGGCTAAGCTTCACCGAATCTCCTTGGGAAACCATGGAGTGGCTGGACCTTACTCCACCCAGTTCCACACCAAGCTTCAGCTCCCTGGGCCCCAGCGGCCCCAGCATCTTTAACATTGATTTCTTGGACGTCACGGATCTCAATTTGAATTCCCCCATGGACCTTCATTTACAGCAGTGGTAGATAATGTCTGATGAAGAGGTGCTTAGGCAGACCCATGGGGATGCCATGGGGAAAATCACACAACCAAAAACGCTCCTATCATCCAAAAGGAGGAAGGGGTAGGCGAGGAGAAGGAGGAGGAGGGGAGAAGGAGAAAATTAAAAAGACACGATGGAGACTTCTGTGACAGTCAATGAGAACAAATAGGAGTCTTTAGATCTATGTAAAATGTAATATTTACCAACGTGCAGTAACTGTTCATGATTTCAGCTGTGCACTCAGATATGTGATTTCTGAGATCAAGAATGCCAAAAAAAAAAAAAACAAAAAAAAAAACCTAAAATTCTTTCACTGCCTTTTCAAACACCAGTGTTTTTGTAGCCCATAATTTTTCTCAGGCATTGTTTGGGCGTGGTCGCGCTTCGTACGCTTTTCTCGTGAATTTATACTGTGGAAAGGAAATGTAGCTCTTTTGGAGTACACGGAGTATAGCATAACCATCAAAGTTTCTGGAAGATTCACTCAGTGGTGGAGGCTGTGTTTCAGCACCCCCTTCCCTGTCTTTCCAAATAGAAGTCAGGCCCGACTTCAGTTGGGTGCTGGAGATAGAATAGAGGGACAGAGCCAACCCATTCCCAAGGAAGTGGAATCAGCTCGGTGTCTCTTGGCCACAAAGCTGCCCCATTGGGGTGGTTCCAATTCTGGACCCAGGATTCCATGTGGTCACTGATAACAATGAACCTATGTTTGGTCCACCCAGAATTTCCCTCTTTCTCAACCAGTAGCCCAATCACTCCTGCTGTCTCTGTGGTGATAAGCACCACAAAACAGCCAAGAACCTGAAAGCAAACAAAAACCAAAACCCCCTGCCATATGGAACATTCCCCAACACAACCCCCCTTTAGTTTCAAAGACTGGAGACGATCCCATGATCACATGGGAAGAACATCTCTAGCTTCGGGAAGCCATGGCGGGATCATTCAGACAAGCTATAGAGAACACTGTTTCACGTGTCATGAGAATAAACACCATGGATTACTATAGCCGGATGACTAATTATGGAAGTCCAACTTTTCTTGGAGGGTGGAAGGGGGCCCACCTGTTTTATCTTCTCCCACTGCACTTTTCTTTCAAGATACCAATCTTTTCTTGCTCCCCTTTTGAAACTCCTTCTTTTTCTGCCCCAACTTGGACAGGAGAGGACTCCAGATCTAACAAGGTGCCATACCCCTAATAAGCCATATTTTAAAAAGCTAAAACTCCCAGGCTCTCCTGGAGAACTCATTCTCCATATGCATAATTTGCTTCAAAAAGCCGAAAGAATGTCCTTGCAGTGAGGGGGGAAGGATAACCTTGGGGTCCTCCGTCCCAAAGCTCATTCTTCAGTCATTTGATTTACTGCAGTCATCAATTTGGGTGGTTCAGGGGAAATTGGAAATTATTACGTTGTAAAAATAGATGTGAACGATATTTACCAGGAGAGAGGATTTCAGGTCTTGGTGGTGAAAGGAAACAGAGTCGCACATGGAAAACGAGGGAAGGAAGAAAGACAATTTTTCTCGTGTGCGTTCCTCATTATCTTGTGCTTTTGCTGGGAGTTGTTTTCAGCTCAAGTGGCAAGGCAGTCTCTCTAAAGCTCACTGTGGCTCCCAGCTCACCGTTTTCTAGTGTTGCATGCTGTAGAAAGTAGCTATTGCTGGTTTGGTGGTGGTTGTTGTTGTTGTTGTTGTTGTTTTAATTTAAATCACTAAGGCACTGTTTTCTTCTTTTGTAAAAAAAAAAAAAATTCACTGTGCACTTACGGAGAAAATAACCAAAAATGTTGTGATTTTAGAAGTTCTCTCTTGGAGAAACCAAAGATTTAGAAGTCATTCCATTGTTACCTTGTAAACATGTGTGAACACAGAGTGTTTTTGGTGACTAGTAATCTGAAAGCTTCCAGAGCTTATGGGGGGGCAGGGTAGGTATGCATATGTGTATAGATATATACAGATGCATATGTCTGTGCGCATATGTGTGTGCATATATACAGGGATATGTATATATCTATACATATATGTGCAGTTGTGTGTCTCTTGAAAAGCAGTGACACAGAGTCCTGTACCAAAAGCCTTTGAAGCCCCAGTTTGCTGTGAAATACTTGGCCTTTGTCACTACGAGTTCCCGATTAATCAACCAGACTCTACGTTGCCTCCCTGTGAATGACTAACAGCTCCAGCTCGGTGACTCACAGCCACTTGCTTACCATGAACACGCTCATCTTGACAAAGAATATGGATGTGAAAAGACAGAACTGCTCCCCCATTAGTGATACAGTCTCTCGTAGAAAAGCATCAAAGGGCCATGAAAATCGTTTTTACATTCCTTGATCTGCATTGTGCTTTAAGAGATCCACGTGCTAAATTCTGCATTTCGCGGTTCACGTCAGTCATCGGAACCCAAAATCTAGAGGGGGAGGAAAGAATCCCCAGTGTTTTCTGTGAAGCCGAGGATACGGGGAAGAAAACTTTGTTCGCGCATTCCTCACGTGTGCTTATCCCTCGGAAGTCAGAGTTTTATTTTGGATCTTGACGAAGCTTGCTGGTCAGCCCATGTTTCATGTGCCCACGTTGTACCATTTGTATGTTTATGTTTTCTCCCTTTGCTGCCTTTGGAAAACAAACTCACAGTGTCCCTACTCTGAGACTCTGGCCTGAGCGTTAATTATGGTTCCCTTTGGGTATTTCTAGCAGAAGGACTAGACTTGGTCAGGAGGCCGCTGTGCTTTGTAAGACTGTGCACTGTCACGGAGACCTTTTTAAGATATTACCAGCACCGATACGCAAGCATCACAGCCAACAAGAGATACTTGCTATTTCCAACCAACACGCTTCACACAGAGCAGACCCTGGATTCTTGGCCTCAGCCCCCCTCCCACAGGCTCCGCACCATATTCGCTGTATCTCTCCGTAGAGCAGAAGTGAGATACACGGTAGAAAATCAGGGATATAGCTGAGAAAACATCGAAGAAGTTGGCTGCACCCAGTGGATCGGATAAACCACGCTAATTCATCTGTCTCCTGTTGGGGGTGTTTAAGTTCTTTTAGACTCTAAGGGCGTCCTCTTTTCTGGGGACCAACCAACCGGGCATGACTGGGAGATGGACAGAAGAGACTTCTGAAGATGGCCACCAAGTTTCTTAATGCTCTTAGAGCCTGAAAACAACCATGGGTCGTTTTCTTGAGACTCCTGGGACCCCCGTGGTGAAGCAGACTTGCAGACACAGACGTTTGCAGCCAACGCCAATGTTGCTGCAGCCACATGGGTTCTAATGGTAGTTACCAACAGACTCCGAAAATTCATCTGTGCAAATACTTTCGTTAAGCCAGTGCTTAGTAGTATTAGCCCTGCTACTAACAGTGTTATTGAGACAACATGCATTCTGTTATAAGGGGGAGAGAGAAGAAGGGAGGGAGGGAGGGAGGGAGGAAGGAAGGAAGGAAGGAAGGAAGGAAGGAAGGAAGGAAGGAGAAAAGGGAGGGAAGAAGGAAGGAAGGGAAGAAGGAAGGATGGAAAGAAAGAAGGGAACAAGGAAGGAAGGAAAGAAAGAAGGGAAGAAGGAAGGAAAGAAGGAAGGAAGGAAGGACAGAAGGAGAGGAAAGGAGGAAGGGAGGAAAACCAAGAGTGTCTCCACCTGAATAGTCAGGGGTCTGTGCACTGGTGGCCTTAGCCATTCAAAAAGATTTATTTCCAATCTGGAGGAAAACAAAACAAAACAAAACACCCTACCCTAAGCATTCAAGACAGTCCTTCTCAAAATTTATTTAAGCTCCATCTGCTCTTCCAGAAGCAAATGCCGGTCTGGCTGAAAATGCCCGCATCAAGTTTACTCACCCAGTGGACAATTCCCTGACGTATGACCTACGCAAAAGCACACGAATCCCCAGACATCCACTACTAAACTGATAAAGTACAGATAGTTCAGATTTTGTGATGGGGAGCTGCTGTTCTTGTAAGGAAGAACACTGGGAATGTCCTAGCCCCGAAACCAGAAACCTCTTAGCTCTGAATTTTTAAAAAGTGGGGGGAGGGGCTTCATTTTTCCAGAAGGGAGAGTAGAGGTCCCCTTCTCTGCCAAAACCTATCACCTGCACAGACATTTTTTTTTTCTTGTCTCAGAGATCCAACAGCCATAGCATAGCACTTGGCGATCTTCCTGTATCTCCCACCCCTGAGCGTTGGTTTTCATTGCTAGATACAGAAGCCCCTTGAAAATCAGGAAAGGGTTATGGAAACTTCTGTCTTTTTTTCCATTCACTGCCTTTGGCTTTCATAGCAAGCTCTGGATGCAAAAGGGACACTTCCGGGGGAGGGGTGTCCGTGGGGAGCCACCACCCCTCAGGAGGAAATCACTTGGCCGTCCTCTTCAGGGCTTCATTCCTCACCATGGGAAGCCCTCAAGGGTTGGCACGCAGTTTGCTTGCCATCCGGTATGCAAGAACTCAAGAGTGAAGACGGTCTGGGGCTTTCCTTTCCCTGTAAATCCAGTATAAACCAGCAGGGGGGGCTCAGATGATGAATTTGCTAGTTCTTTCTTAGATGGATGATATCACCAAACACACAGAGTCCAGGTCCTGAAACAAGATGGTCCTATGGTTCCGGGGCTGCTCAGGGTTGTGTTCAGGAGCTGGGTTTGATTCTAGAATCCACATTTTCAGAGGACCCCTGGCTAGGTGGAGTCTATGCCTGAGAAGATGATTTCAAGACATGGAAAGATCTGGGAAGAATTTCTCTATCATCTATCTGCCAGGGACCCAGTGGGTTCAATAACATATAAGTGAGCTCCCTTTTGACTCTAGGGTTTGGCAATTCCCCAATGGATTAGGATGAACCAAACTCCTGACCATCTCTTGTGCTTCGTATAACCACCTGCTCCCATCATGGATGCTGGTTAATGTGAGTTTCCTCTATAAATGGTTTCCCAGCTCCCAAGTGTTTATGGAAAGGCGGAGCATGATGGTGGGGATCCTGGATGCTATTCT